TTATTGTTGTTGCCCTTGGCAGAGTTCTGTAATATCATAGCTCACAGCAACCTCAGACTCTTGGGCTCAAGTGATTCTCTTGCCTCAGTCTCCCTAGTAGCTTGGAACTACAGGTGCCCACCACAACACCTGGCCATATTTTTTGTTTTGCTTTAGCAGGCCCAGGCCAGGTTCAAACCCACTAGCTCTGGTGCATGTGGCTAGTGTCCTAACCACTGAACTGTGGGGTGCCCAGCCTTCACAGACTTATATTACAACTTTTTCTGGCCATGTGACTTGCTTTGGTGAATAGAATGTAAGAGAAAGTGACACATGTCACCTCTGGGAAATAGCTTTAAGAGCCAGTACACAATTGTTCACATTCCCTCTCCCTGCCTGCTGGACTAAAAGCACCCTTTTAAATTTTCTTTCTCTTTCTCTTTTTTTTTTTTTTTAGACAGTCTCACTTTGTTGCCCTTGGTAGAGAACTCTGACATCATAGCTCACAGCAACCTCAAACTCTTGGGCTCAAGTGATTCTCTTGTCTCAACCTGCTGAGTAGCTGGGACTACAGACACCCACCATAAGGCCTGGCTATTTTTTTAAAGACAGGGTCTCATTCTTGCTCAGGCTGTTCTCGAACTCCTGAGCTCAAGCAATCTACCTGCCTCAGCCTCAGTGTCCCAGAGTGCTAGTCTTTTTAATTTTCTTGATAGATTTATGGGTATTAGTGGTTTGGGTTACATGGATGAATTGTATAGTGGTGATGTGTGGGTTTTAGTGTACCTGTCACCTGAAGAGCATATATTGCACCCAACAGGTAGTTTTTCATCCCTCACTTCCCTCCCATACTCCCCCCTTCTGAGTATCTGATGTCCACTGTACTACTCTGCCTGCCCCTGGGAAGCACTGAGGCAGGGATTCCATCATCCTAGGTCCTGAGCAGCCACACCAAGCAGAGCCCTCCCGCAAGTAATGATTGCTGCTGGGTTACACGTGTGCCACAGGCAGAGAACATCTGCTTGTGTTAAACCACCAAGATGTGGGGATTATTTGTTACAGCATCATAAACTGACTTGCCTGACAGAGTGGATCTAGAATTGCTTGCATTTGGATGAGTTAGCTTGCACAGTAGAAGGATGGGGTCCCAGCTGGCCACAGCTAAGCTCTGTGAATATCACCCACCTGAAGCGATCCATTCTGTGAGTGCTGGAGGAAGGGCAAAACTAAGCATTGCTATTCCAGGTTGGCTCTTAGGTAAAAGTTAGATGTGTCTGGAAATATGATTTACCATTTCAGCTCATCAGAGTACCATTACCTAAGCTAAACATGAGCTGAATTTCCATACACACAGCATCTGAAGTGCCATTTCTCTCTGCAGATGAACAAAAATATTTATAAACCATTCTTTATAAAAGCTTTCAACTGGCTCTAAGTCAGTAGTTTTCAAATTGAGCCCTAAGGATCCTAGATGACAGATGCAGCAGACTAGACTCCAGAGTGCCATGGAGGGCACCGAAGGGGTCTGGGGAATTTCACCCCTGAATATGGCACCTTCGTATGCTGACTTAATTAAAGGCCTTTGAAGATGAGCAGATGCAAGAAAAGACCTTTCCCTGATATTCTCTTTTCCTTTTCTTTCTTTCTATCTTTTTTTGTTTTGTTTTGTTTTGTTTTGTTTTGTTTTTATATTTGGGTTTGTTTTGTCTCACTCTTTTGCCCTGGGTAGGATGCAGTGACCTCATTACAGCTCTCAGCAACCTCAAACTCCTGGGCTCAAGCAATCCTCCCGCCTCACCCTCCTGTGTACCTGAGACTACAGGCACCCACCCCCAGTCCCAGCTACTGTTTCTATTTTTCCTAGAGACAAGGTATCACTATGTTGCTCAGGCTTGATATTCCTTTTTCTAACTTAAGACTGGGCCCTCCAAAGAGAACACGCTTGCCTTCCTCCCTTCCCTAAAATCTCATTATCTATCACAGAAAAGGTGGCTGAGGAATACAACCACACCTGGACAGACGTTTCCAAAGAAAATATCTGCTTCTCAGTTGCAAATTCCAAAGAGAATCATTTATTGCCTCCCAGTCCTTTCCTTCTCCCTAATAATCACTTATGACCCCTCAGAAGCATTGTCTGCATTCCCCATGTTCCCCTCCCCTGTGAAGAAGGGTACAAAAGCATCCACACCCCACTGGGTTATTGGATAACCACTGTCCTGTGATTGTCACCCTGTGTATGTTAAGATAAATTTGTATGTTTTCTTCTCCAATTAATCTGCCTGTTTCAGTTCATTTTTTAATGAACCTTCAGAGGGCAAAGAGGAAGCTTTCTCCCTTATTCCCTACAACATCTTCCACACAGCCCCTCCCTTTTTCAGCTCCTTTACTCATATGATTTCATTCTAACAAAAGTCTTTGTGGCTAAAACAGGCTCGGCAGGCTGGGGTTTAACGTCTGTGCTGGCACCATACCAGAGGTATGAATCAGAGCTCTGAAACCAAAGAGGTGAACTTTCAAGGAGCTAAACTCAGCCTACAGTTAGGACTAGGGAAGAGGAAGGTACAGATGAAATGTAAATAATAAAGCTTGGTCTATACAAGGGACTTATTCTCCAATAAGAATAAGATGGCGTCAGGCAGGCTAGGGCAGACACCGCTAGTCTGGTCACTTTAGATCCTGTCTGACCTCCCTCACCTCCGCATCCCCTGACCCCCCCCATTCTTACTGTTTTATAAATTTAGCTCCCACCCCGAAGATGCCTATCTTGAGTAGTTTAAGTAGATAAGAGATTAACTTTTAAACTAAAATATTATAATAAGTTACTGAATTATGCTGATTATTATTTGAAATAGGGTTTAGTGTGGTCTTTGCTTTGAACTTTTCTATATAAAACTGTAATTTTAGAAATGAAAGAACAGAACAGTCTTGAAGAGGCTACTCTCACTGTTCTCCAGAATCCCGGGCTTCTGGGATAAAATTTGGTAGACCTATCCCTGTCTCTACATATTGGCTGACAGTGACAGGTGGCCAAACCTTCTTCATCTGGTAACAGGACTAAATATATTTACAATAATAATGAATATTATTGTTATTATTGCTAATAATACCTGTCACCATCTGGTGTGTGTTCTTGTTCTTCTCTTCAAAATAACTTTTTTGGTTTATTGTCAGTCGCCACTGATTAGAACAGAAGCTCCATGAAAGGAAGGAATCTGGTCTGTCTTGTTTCCCGTTGGACCCCCAGCACCAAGAACGAAGCCTGGCACCCAGAGAGTGACCCTGGGAGTGGGATGCTATTTTAACCTCCGTTTTATGATTGAACTAACTGAGGCACAGGGAGGGTAAATAGCTTGTCTAAATAACTCCCTAAATAACATTTAGGGAGTGCAAAGACATGAATAAGATCCCAGGCATCCAGCTTTGCAACTGTCCCTCTTACTTACTATACCATTAATGATCCGGCACCCTCGGGTCTAAATGAGTTAACAAAACAAGTTTGATGGAAATTCCTCCAATCTTTTCTTTATTCATTTCATTCTAGTAGGTGTATTTTCTATTATCACCTTTACAGGTGAGGAAACTGAGGCACAGAGAGGCTGAGAAGTAGCTGACAACAGGCAGAGCTAAGTTTTGAACCCAAGGAACGTAACCACACATACATATCATCCTCACATTACAACAGACAGGAGTCTGAGGACCCACTCACCGATGCAGACTCAAGTCCTCATCCCTGCTCTTGTGTCTTAATGACCAAGGTAGTAGTCAAGCACCAGTGCTCATATTCCAAACACACAAATACATTTACTGATAGCATTTAACCACTGGAAATAGGGACTGCTAAGCTATCAATGGGATGATTAAACGAATCATCATCCAAAGCCTTTATAAATCTGTTATTGTCAATCAAATGCCTAAGAACTTATCAAGTAAGATTTTTATTCTGACGATAAACCTCCGATAATTGCTGCTTTTGTGGAGAAAAGCTGTATCGATATCTGGCAGTGCTCTCTTTATATATTCTCAGAAATATTCTGGCCAATGGGGGACGCAGTCTGACTTTCACAGGAACACATGGGGATTCCACTAACTTCAACGGATTTGTCTCTTGGCTGCTCAATTCAACTGCAGCCAGATGGAAAATGGAAAACTGAGGATGGGCCCGGGCCTATTGTCAAAGACACAAAGAAGTTATTGAGCAGAAACAGTCCACAGTCTTACCCAGCTGCTATGAAAGCCCCGAGAATGATGGCAAAGACACTGACAATGATGCTCAGTGAATACTGCTTCCTGTAATAAATAAATAAACACATAAGAAAGGAAAGCAGGGGAGGGGGTTTTAAATATAGGTTACATTTTTTAATGTATAATTTTAAATGTAAGTTACCTTTCTTAAATATATAAAGGACATATTGAAAACATCAAATACACATTCACAGTTTTATAGCTAAAACCTAATGGATAGTATTTAATATAGAGAAAGCACTAAAAGTGTGTCTAAGTTAAATTCAATGTACGTTATTTCTTAAGCCGTTTTAGTAACTAATTATAAACTGATTTCTGTGTTCTCACTAGAGAGATGCGGAGACAAATACAGAAAAGCTGCTGCTCGCTTGGGTCTAGTTTGTACACATGTGAATTTAATAATGAGAATTCAAAGATCAAGACAAAACTCAGGTTTAAAACATTGAACCATCAGTAAAAATTCATTGCTAAATAATTTTCACGGCAAAATCAAGAATCACGCTTTGGGATGTAAAACTATCTTGATGAGAAATTTTTATAACCAACACTATAAAAATTAAAGTATTCTGCCGCAGAATTGATTTCCCTGCTCTCCTTCACTCCTGTATGTACATATGGAAAAATGTATTCTGTTTTTCAAAATTGCTATATATTCTATCTGCCTCAGGAAGCAGGTTTACATCTGTTTTAGTGTGGTTTTTTTTTCTTTTTTATAACTTTCTACCACAAATATGTATTCGTTGTCAACGGTAAAGTTACAATTCAAAAAAATCCCTTGTGACGTTCTTAGGGTTTCACAGAAACAGGCCACTTTTTTTAAGTGAATTCTTCCTTCTATTTTTGCAACTAGCAATCCAAATTAACTATCTGGAAAGGTGACTGGACATTCACCATTTGCAGTAGAAAAATAACGCAGGGAGGGAGGACATATAGGACTGGAAGAAAACAAAAAATCACCCGAGTACGATGCTTTCCAGAAGCAAAGTAAGTGGAATGGTAAATTTCCTGAGGACAGTGAACATCGGCAAGCTGTCGGGAAAAAATTCAAGCATAACATCAGATACCGAGTGTTGGTGAGTTTTTTTGTAAACATGTTTTACATTTTTAATTAAGCCCATTCATTTTCTAAATTAAATATGAGGAATTAACCTTAATTCTCACACTTGCCATTAGCAAAAAACATCACATAATACAAAGAAATGAAAACCATTTTACCACTTTTACATAATAGCAATTTAAAACACCATCCTACCCAACTGTTACAAAGATGGTATTAAAACTAGTTCACAGGGTGAACCAGTACATCCTATCACAAATCAAGTTGGGACTGTGTATCAACAGTCATTAAATGGGCTTAATCTTGGGCCTAATTACTTTCTGCTGGGAAACATCCTAAACTAAAGTAATAATCCAAAAGAAAGAAAACCCCGGGTGCATAAATTGTTCATTGTAACATCTTTGGGAAAAACATCAGAAACAACCTAAAGGTCAGACACTGGTCAAATAAATTATGGTACATCTATTCCAGGGAACATGATATATATGATGCTATAATATGTGCATATAAAGACTATTGTAAAATAAATATTAAATAAAACAAAAGTGGTAAAAAACAATGTAGTCTATGACTCTAACAAGATAGATTCTGTAAATGGAAAAAGACTTTCAATGAGTTTTTCAAATTATGTGTTTTTTGTTTTCTTTTTTTGTTAGTTTATTTGTTTTCTGAGACCATTGTATTCCGTCACCCTGGGTAGTGTGCCACGACATCCTACCACACAGCAACCTCAAACTTTTGGCTCAAGCGATCCTCTTGCACAGCCTCCCAAGTACCTGGGACTACAGGCACCTACCAAAACACTGGGCTAATTTTTCACTCCTCCTCAGGCTGGTCTAAACTCCTGAGCTCAAGCAATCCACCCACCTTGGCCTTCCAGAGTTCTAGAATTCCAGGCCTGAGCCACTGCGCCTGGCCTTAAATTACATATGAATCGCTCCTCTACCTTCTGGCTAAAATCAAGTGTAAAATCGCATGTTAAAGGATAAAATTACAGGTGATTGTTTCTCCCAAACTTTATGAAATGAGGATTCATTGCCTTAAAAAATATGTACTTAAGGACCTTTCACTCACTCCTAACAGAGAGATTCCAGGATACAGCTCAGTGCACAGCCAGTAGACTGCCAAGGCTGAAATGGCCCACCTATACCTGCCTCCAAAAGTGACCCTCAGAAGACAGTAAGCTAGGGGAGAAAAAGTGAGAGCAAGAATGACAGCCCAGGAGGGGGAGCGGGGAAGCTCTCCCAACGAGGCCTGAGGATGGGCTTCACATTATCAGTGACACTGCAATCAGACAGCAAGTGCAGAAAGAATTTTCAGAAACTTTATATTCACATTTAAAGATGTTTTATGAGACTGGCTTAAATTATCTTTCTCAAAGCAAGCCATAACAAAAAACATCTCATATTTTCTATTCAGTTGAAAAAGTATTTTTAGATGCAACCTTTTAAAAACAGATAAAGTATACTTAATGGTAAAAATCTGAATGTTTTCTCCTTAAGATCAGGAACGACATCGGGATGTTCACTCCCATCACTGTATCTATTCAACATTGTACCTGAGGTTCTAGTCAGGGCAATTAGGCAAAACAAACAAAAAACCCAAGTAACAAGCATCCAATTTGGAAAGGAAGAAATAAAGCTATCTCTACTTGCAGATAATACCTTATATAGTCCTAAGGGAACCACTACAAAATAATCAGAATGTATAAATGAGTTCAGCTAGTGTGCAGGAAACAAAGTTAATATACAAGAATCAACTGCACTTCTACATTCTAGCAATGAGTGATCCAAAAATAAAATTAACAAAGCAGGTCCATGAACAAATGTAACAAAAGAAGCATAACGTCTGTATGCTGGCAACCCCAAAACATTATTAAAAGAAATTAAAGAGGACCTTTAAAAAGAAATTAAAGAGTAAATAGAAAGATGCTCCATGTTTGTTCATGGCTCAGAATACTTATGGTGAAAATAGAAAGATTCCCCAAATAGATACACAGTTTGGATATTTGAGCCTGTGAACCTCATGTTGAAATTTGATCCCCAGCATTCTGGGTGGGCCTAGTGGGAAGTGTTTAGGTCATGGGGGCAGATCTCTCATGAATAGATTAAAGCCCTCCTTTGGTAGTGGGTAGGGGGGGTAGTGAGTGAATTCTCACTCTGATAGTTCCCAAAAGACGTGGGTGTTAAAGAGGGCCTGGCACCCTGGCACTTCCTCTCTCCCCATGGAATTGTGATCTCTGCACACACAGGCTCCCCTTCCCTTTCTGCCATGAGTAGAAGTAGCCAAAAGCCCTGACGAGAAACAGATTCTGGTGCCACAGTTCTTGTACAGCCCACAGTCATGAGCCAAATAAATCTTCTTTCCTTTTTCCTTTATAAATTATCCAGCCTCAGGTATTCCTTTAGAGCAACATGAAAGGACTAAAACACAGATTCAACACAATTCCTACAAAAATCTCAACTGGCTCTGTTTGTGTGTATGTGTTTAAATTGACAAGCTGATTTTAAAATAACAAGGAAATGTTAGGGAACCAGAAAGTCAAAACAATCTTGAAAAAGAACTAAGCTGGTGTACTTACACTTCCCCATTTCAAAACTTACTCCAAAGCAATCAAAACTATCTTTATTGATTTAACTCTACATATATAATCCATGGGCCAGAATAGAGAGCCAAGAAATAAATCCTAACAATTATGGTCAAATGATTTCAAAAAGGGTGCCCAGACAAAATGAGAAATGAACAGGCTTTTCAACAAATGGCTCTGGTACAACTGAATATCCACGTGTGAAAAAAATGAATTTTAACTCCCATCTCGTATTATATATAAAAAATTAACCCAAGAGCCAGGCACTGTGTACCTGCCTATAGTCTCAGCTATTCAGAAGGCTGAGGTATGAGTTGAATGCTAGAGTGTACAATGACTGCCCTTGTAAATAGCTGCTGCACTCCAGTCTAGATAAGATACCATCTCTAAAAAAGAATTTAAAAAAAATTAGCACAAATTGGTCAGGGGCAGTGTACCACACCTATAATCCTAGCACTCTGGGAGGCTGAAGCTGGTGAATTGCTTAAGATCAGAAGTTTGAGATCAGCCTGAGCAAGAGTGAGACCCCATCTACAGAAAATAGAAAGACTATCTGGGCATCGTGGTGCCCTACAGAGGGGCATATAGTCCCAGCTACTCAGAGGCTGAGGCAGGAGAATCGCTTGAGCCCAAGGGTTTGAGGTCACTGTGAGCTATGATGATGCCACAGCACTCTATCCAGAGTGAGAGACTGAAACTCTGTCTCAAAAAAACACAAACAAAAATACCCTACAAATATATCAAAGGCCTAAATGTAGGATCTAAAGTTATAAAACTCTTCATTTATTATGTTTATCGGCATTCACTGCTTGAGTCAACGTTAGACTTCTTAAGTAATTAAAGGCAATTTTATTACAGCAGCATGTACTTATTCTAAAAGAATAAAATGCATAAACAGAAACAGCTTTTCTTGTTTGCAATCTGTAAAATTGAGTTATTTTGCTGATGTAAAATACCAATAACTCGCTTGAGGACCATGCCACCTTCTAAAATGGTCACATACTTACTTCTTAAATGTGTTAAAGTTACAGCACATCCCAAACTTTTTCAGAGCAAAAGAAACAAGTAACTGACTGCTCTTGACTGTGCCTTCCCTGGAAATAGCACTGACTTCTGGGAAGAGCCAGAGTGAGAAAAAAGCTAGTATTTTTATAACATAAAACAGTATCATTTATAGTTGTCAGTCATGTATTGTTATCCAGCTAAAACAAAAAGCCCTGTGAAAAACTAAGTTATCTTCTTACCTGTAAGTGATGGAGGCTATTTTTAAGATTGTCAGAATTTACTAACTATATAATTATGACACATAGTCCAAAGAATGCAGTTGATTGAATGTTCTCTTTTGAAGATCTATTGTCTTGACTAATTGAACAGTAATTCAAGTAGAATATCCCAGGAAACAACCACCTGGGCTCCCCTGTTTGGAGTCTGGCTAACTCTGAGCATTGCCAATGGGCCCTTCTTGGCCTACCTTACATTCTCTCCTTTAGAGACTTTGTATTCTGCACCCAGCTTTGTTAACAGTGAGCTGAAAACAACCTTGGGTTGAGTGTTTTGTGTGGGAGTTCCTTGGCCAGGGCCTTTTGAATAATAGTGCCCCAATGAAGTGCTAGATAATATATGTTTAAGAATGAGCTTTTTTTTTTAAACTGTAATAACTACTTTCAGAAATTTCTAACTACTTCGTAAGTGCATGACTTAACCTGGTGATAAAAGCAGTTATTAAAGCCTACCTTTTCCAAAAAAATAAAATAAAATTATAAAACTCTTCGAAAGCAGGAGGAAATCTTTGTGACCTTAGGCTAAGTAAAGCCTTAGGAAAAAAAATACCCAAAAGCATAAGCAACAAAAGAAAAAATAGATAAATTAGACTTCATCAAAATTAAAATCGTTTATAAATGGATAAACATTATATATATGAGTGCACGTATACACACACACAGAATCTTAAAAAGGAACGAAATTCTGATCCATGCCACCACATGGATAAACTTTGAACTTCATGGTAAGTAAATAAGCCAGACAAAAAAGGACAAATATTATATGATTCAACCTGTTTGAGATATCTACAGCAGGCAAATTCATATAGACAGAAAGCAGAATAGATTCTACTCGGTTGAGGGCTAAGGAGAATGAGAAGTTATTTTTCAAAGGGGTATAGGACATCTGTCTGGGATGATGAAAAAGTTCTGGAAATGAATCATGGTGATGGCTGTACAACATTGTGAAAATATGTAATGTAACTGAATTGTACACTATAAAATGGTCAATTTTATGTTATGTATATTTTACCTTAATTCTTGTTTAAATTTTTAAAATTTAAAACTTTGGTGCAGGAGCCCTCAAACTATGGCCCACAGGCCACACGTGGCCCACCAAGGACATTTATCCGGCCCGTGGGTGTTTTTGCCACCACTGCCTGTCCTGCTTAGCAGCTGACTCCTCCCAGGCCCGCAGTCCCGCCCTCCCATGGTCTGAGGGACAGTGAACTGGTCCCCTGTTAAAAAGTTTGAGGACCCCTGGTTTGGTACCTCAAAGAACATAGCATGAAGAGAGTGAAAACACAACCCAGGGAACAGGATAAAGTTTTGCCACTCAGATCTGTAGTGAGGGACCAGCACATAAAGAACATCTACACCTTAATAAAAGAAAGACAAACAATCCCATTTAAAAATAGGCAAAGGATTCATCTGGAGAAAATATACAGATGGCCAATAAGCATATAAAAAGAAAGATGCTTAACATCTTTAATCATCAAGGCAATGTCTATCAAAACCACAATGAGATGCCACTTCACAACCACTGGAATGCTTAGAATCAAAGAGGGAAAGCATCTTTGTTTTACCCCAAAGGCTGTATCTCCCTGATAAAAAAATAAAAAGAAGAAAAGAACCTTTAAAAAAGAAACTTTAGACAATAACAAATACAGCAAGGATGTAAAGAATTTATAATCCTTATACATTGCTGGTAGAAATGTGAAAGGGTGCAGCCACTTTGGAAAACAGTTCAGCAATTGTTGAAAAGATTAAACAGAGCAGTACCACGTGACCTAGCAATTCCACTCCCAGGTATATACCCAATCAATGGGAATCCTGTTCTTCCACTTCATCAGTCCAAAAACCATGAAGTCCTCTTTGTCTCCTTTCCTTCCTTCACACCCCACATGTTAATCATCACATACTGTGCCCTTCCTTCAAAACACAAACAGCATTCAGATTGCGGTCTCTCAATAACATCTGACATTAATAGCAAGTAGTATATTCCTAACAGAATGGAAGGAAATGTTCAAGATAAGCCTGGGGCATCATTTGCCAAAAAAAGCAGGGGAGTAACGCAAGAGGGAGTAATGCAAGACTACAGGGGCCGCAGAACATAGGAGCCAACTTCAAGGTAAGTAAATAAGCCAGACCAAAAAAGGACAAATACTATATGATTCAACCCCACTGGGATAGTTTGAGCATCAAAAGAGGTATTTCCTTAATGAATAAAACATGTCAAAAAAATGAGACAAATAGATCAATAAAACAGAATAGAGAGCCCAGAAATAGCCCCACACAAATACAGTCAACTAATCTTTGACAAAACAGCAAAGGCAATTCAATGAAGAAAGGATGGTGTTCTCAACAAATGGTGCTCAGAACTAGACCTCCATGTGTAAAAAACTGAATCTAGATACAGACCTTATCTCTTTCACAAAAATTAACTCAAATTAGATCACAGGCGTGGTAGCACATGCACACAGTCCCAGTTACTCAGGAGGGGGATGTGGGAGGATCCTTGGAGCCTAGGAGTTTGAGGCTGCAGTGAACTACGATTGTGCTCTGTAGCCTGGTTGATAGAGCAAGACCCTGTCCCAAAAATAATATAATAATGATAATAACAATCAGGTTTGGTGGCCAGACATGATGGCTCATGCCTGTAATCCTAGCATCTGGGAGACCAAGGCAGGAGGTTCACTTGAGCTCAGGAGTTTGAAAGCAGCTTTAGTAAAAGTGAGACCCACATCTGTCCTAAAAATAGAAAAATTAGCTGGGCATCTTGGCAGAAGCCTGTAGTTCCCATTACTCAGGAGGCAGAGGCAGGAGGATCACTTGAACCCAGGAGTGAGGTAGGGTGATGCTAAGCACTCTAGCTTGGGCAACAGGGTGAGAATATGTGCCCCCCCAAATAATAAAAATAATAATAATAAAATAAGGTTTGGTGCTGAGTTTCAAATATGACACCAAAAACATGATCCATGACAGAAAAACAGTGATCATGGAACCTCATTAAAATTAAAAATGTCTGCTCTGTGAAAGCCTGTGGTAAGTAAATGAAAAGAGCAGCCACAAACTAAGAGAAAATATTCACAAAATTCATATTTGATAAAGGACTTGTATCAAGTAAATGAAAATCTATGAGTTCATAATGATAAGAAAAAACAAAATCATATTTAAAAACATCCCTGACAGATCACCATTGAAGGTGACAAGACACTAATTTATTAGTCTGACCATTTATAAATAAACTTTTATCCTGCCTTTCTTCTATTAAATGGTGAAAAATTATATGTATTGAAAAAGTTTAGATAATAAATGCAAAAGGTCACCATTTTGTAACTTGCAATTAAGTAATGTCTCTTGACAAGGATCATTAATAGCTGCTAAAATCATTAGGGGAAAGATAGGTGGGGAACTTTGTAATAAAGGGACCACATCGACCCTTAAAATCATTAATAGTAGAATTGACAAATTTAACAGCATTCAAAGGGCATTATGTGCCCTATAATCAAAGGACCCTGCAATAAATACAGATACAAATTTCAGAAGTAGATAGCATACACTTGAAAATGTCTGTCATTTGTTTTTCCCAGCACCAGATCTGATCTATACCATGTTCTTGTGTTTATAAAACTGGTATGGAACCAAATGTCACACAGAACCATATTCACAAAAACAAATCTATCTCTAGATAAATCACACCTTGTCTACCTTGATGACTACAGATCTCATATTCTATTATATATTCAGACTTGAATATAAGGAAATACATAAGCTTTATAACATTCCTAGAACATTGGCAATGGATTTAGAGAACATTCTCCTAAGTAAAGTATCTCAGGAATGGAAAAGCAAGCATCCTATGGACTCAGTACCAATCTGAAACTAGTAGACCAACAACTACAGACCCACACTAGAGAAAAACCCAATTAACTTCAAGAAGCAGGGAGGAGGAGAGGAAAATCAGTAAGTTCCCACCTATTGGGTACAATGTGAGGGTATATGGCACAGTTCCTGGGTGAAGCATTCAACTGCAACTTGGACTTCAGACTTTACCTTACAAATGCAAACAATGTAACCTCATCATATTGTGCCCTCATGTTAACGTGAAATAAAAAATAAAACACTAAAAAAAGAAAATTGGAAAACTAAACTCAAAACTTGACCTAACTTTCTTAAATTATTATTATACCTGTCTATATGTACTTTGATTTGAAAAATCAGACTCGGTCTTTGTACCATTAGCAGCATAAGGGTGAGAAACCTCCCATCATCCATTACCCTGCACTCTACCTTAATTTACTTGTGCTTGATAATCCACTTATGTGGTTTCCAACGTAGAGGAGAGGCAGAGGAAACAGCTTCAATCAAAAGAAGAAAGAATATTTGGTTAGAATTCTGATAAGCATTTTCCTTCACATACAAAGATGGCAACAGGTACTTCACAAAAGAGGATATCCAAATAGGCACTAAGAAATAAAAAGATGCTCAACCTCATTAGCAATCTGGGAGATCAAATTAAAGCCCATAAAGTTTTATTACACATCCACCAGATTAGGAACATTTAAAATGACCAGTATACCAAGAACTAGCAAGAATATGAAGCAACAATGTACACTTTTGTCAATTTTTGTAAATTGGTATAACCACTCTGAATAACAGTCAGACATTATCCCCTAAGTTGAAGATATGTATATCCTAGGGGCCAGCAGTTCCACTACATGGTAGACCCCCCTCCTCCATGCATATGTACTGTAATGGACTAAATCATGTCCTTTCATATTCTTATTTTGAAGTCCTATCTCCTAATGAGATAGGGCCTTTATTAAAGGAGGTAACTAAGGTTAAATAAGGTCATAAGGGTGGGGCCCTAATCCAATAGGACTGGTGTCCTTTTAAGAAGAGAAAGATATCTATATACTTGTAAACCCTTCTCATCCTTAAACCCAATGAAATGAAAATAAAATGTGAGATTGAAAAAAGAAAAAAAAAAAAGAAGAGAAAGATAATGCAAGAATATATGTCGAATCTATTAGTATAGAGTATAAATGTCTTAACACAATAATTAAGTAAATGAGATGAGGTATATATTGACCAGTGTAAGCGTTCCTAATTCTATATGAAATCAGCACATTGTACCCCATAAATGCATTAATGTATACATGATCTATGTGTTTATGATTTAATAAAAAATTTTTTTAAAAAAGAAGAAGAGAAAGAGACATCAGGAGTGTACACACATGGAGGAAAAGCCATATAAGGACACAGCAAGAAGGCAGGCTCACCAAAAATCAGCCCTGCTGGCACCTTGATCTTAAGATTCTAGCCTTCTGTTGTTTAAGCCACCCAGTCTGGTATTTTGCTATGGTAGCCCTTTTCTAAGTAACATATGTGCACCAGCATCTAACTATAAGTTAACTATAAGAGTAGTACTTATTTTTCTGGCCCCTAAATTACCATGAACAATGTAACAGATAGGTAAATTGTAGTACATGCATACAAAGAAAGTAAAAGAATACAGGGACACCCAACACAAAGCTAATATGGCATATAATCTTACCGTCATAATATTAAGTGAAAGAAGCAGGACACAAAAAGAACGTACAAAATTTGATTCCATTTACATAAAGTTCAAAGTCAGGTGAAATTAAACTATAGAATTTATGAATGCATCCAAATTTAGAAAAATTACAAAGAAAAAAAGAGAATTATTGTTTTGAAAGTTTAGGATAGTGGGTAAGGAAGACTTTGCGATACCATTTCATGACCTAAGTAATGATTTAAAAGGGTAATTATGGGTGGCTCAGTGAGTAGGGCGCCGGTCCCGTATACTGAGGGTGGCAAGTTCAAACCTGGCCTCGGCCAAACTGCAACAAAAAACAGCTGGGTGTTGTGGTGGGTGCCTGTAGTCCCAGCTACTCCAGAGGCTGAGACAAGAGAATCCCCTAAGCCCAAGAACTGGAGGTTGCTATGTGCTGTGATGCCACAGCACTGTACGGAAGGTGACAAAGTAAGGCTCTATCTCCAAAAAAAAGAAAATTAAAGGACAATTATTCATTCAACCACATAGTCAGGTATGATGCTTTTTCTCTATGTACACATCAAATTTCATAATTTTAAAATGGTTAAAATGATACTATGTTATGAAGTAAGTGTAAGCAAGCCCAACAATATTCTGATTTTCTTCCATGATTAGGTTAATGTCTTTTAACATTAACCTAACAAAAGTAATATTTTACTTTTCTCCTTTCGTGGATGTCCCTGCTTATTAATGCTGTTTGGTGTGTGCTGATTTGATCTGTCTGATGAATAATCCAGTGCTAGATGCCAGCATTTTTCCAGACATTAAAGAAACAGCAATGAACAAGCCATGTGGGGTCCTCACCCTGAAGGAACCGACAATCTGATTTAAATCCAAATGCTGTCAGAATTCATTTAACACCACCTGTTGTATGGTACTGGTACTAAGAATTAAGTATCTGCCCAGTTATCTCATACTTAGCGACGGTTCAATAAAAGTTGGTTGCATTCTACACTCCCAGGAAAGCCTGGTGGATTTTACATTTCTTGTTCCATCATGGAAAAAACTGTCTTTCTGTGTATAGTAAATTGCATTCTTCATATCACCTACAGCTTTTTTTTTTTTAAGACAGAGTCTTGCTCTGTCACCCTGGGTAGAGTACTGTGGCACCATAGCTCACAGAAACCTCAAACTCCCAGGTTTGAGTGGTCCTCTTGCCTCAGCCTCCCAAGTAGTTGGAACTACAGGCACCCACTACAACACCTGGCTAGTTTTTCTATTTTTAGTAAAGATAACTCTTAGTCAGGCTGGTCGAGCTCAGGCAATCCACCTCCTTCGGTCTCCCAGAGTGCTAGGATTATAGGCGTGAGCCACATGCCGAGCCTTACCTATAGCTTTTATTAATCCAAACTAAAAATGAAACTGAAAACAGGGACAAGTAAACTAGGGTCCAAGGGCCAAATCCAGCCTAGCTCCTGTTATGTAAACAAAGTCTTTTGGGAACACAGCTATTCCATTTCATTCACATATCATCTAGGGCTGATATGTGAATGAAAGGTCTGGTCTCCTGGTACAGTGGCAGAGCTGAATAGCTGCAACAGAGATGGTCTGGTCCTTTACCAAAAATGCCAGCCAATCCCTAATTCAGAGAGCTGTCGTTTCATTTCTGAAATAACATCTATTTAATGTCAATTGTTAACCATGTGCTTTTGCTAAATGGACAAATGGATGGCATATTTAAATGGACAAATGAATGACAATCTTTATCAAGAAGTTTTTTACCCAATTCAAGTAAGAAGTAAAGTGAGTTTAGAAATGTATCTATACTCTAAAATAAATAGGTAATTCTATGGTATTTTTTACATCACCTATCACAGCTATATATACTTTTCACCACATACCTTTACAGGGATTTTCTTGTCAAAATCAGGGAAGTGAATGATTTTATTTCGCTTAGATACATACAGTATCATTATGGTAGCTGCCATCTAAAGAAAAGGGAAGAGAGAAACATCAGAAAAATATCTGGACAGATTGCTTCAGGTTCAGTGACATTCTCAGAAGAAAAAAGATTCATCAAAAAGAAATATTGCAAAACAAAAAATCCATTTTCTAGTTTCCAGGAAAAAAATACTATATCTTAGAATATTAAAATTATTTTTCTTGCCACTGCATGGATTCCATCAGGACTACAGGCAAAAAATATAATATCAAATAGACTCATATGTATACACATGATCTCAAGGGGCTCTAGGAACGGTGACAGAGGGAGAAAGGGAATGGGGTCCCCAACAATGACCAGAGTGAAGGCAGTCAGGGAGGCCACACTGATCCCGGACCTTACTTCTCATGTCCTATGCCTATGGTCACCTTCTTCCATAAAGCTGGCAGAACAATTTTAAAGGAAAAAACTCCAAACAAAAACACATTTATTCTGTCACCCAGGCTGAAGTACAGTGACAGCATCACAGCTCACTGTAACCTCAAACTCTGAGTCTCAAGCCATCTGCCTGCCTCAGCTTCCTGGGTAGTCTGGATTACAAACTTGTCCCACCACCACACCCAGATGATTCTTTAACTTTTTTAATTTTTTTTTTTTTTTTTGAGACAGAGTCTCACTCTGTTTCCTTAGGCTAGAGTGCAATGGCATCAGCCTAGCTCACAGTAACCTCAGAATCCTCAGTTCAAGCCTGAGCCTTCCAAGTAGCTGGGACTATAGTCAACGCTTGTCTAATTTTTCTATTTTTTAGTAGAGACAGGGTCTTGCTCTTGCTCAGCCTGATCTTGAACTCTTAAGCTCAACAGATCCTCTTCCCTCAGCCTCCCAGAGTGCTAGGATTACAGGCATAAGCTACTGAGCCCAGCCAATTTTTTAATATTTTTATAGAGATGGCGTCTCAAACTTCTGGCCTCAAGAGATCCTCCCATCTCTCCCTCCCAAAGCACTAGGGTTACATTTGGGTTACTTGGCCAAATAAATAAATAAATAAATAAAATAATACCATTTGCTTATGCAGGTTTTAGAACTTACTCAGTTTTCTCCATTTAGGATGCAAAAATTTAAGAGCTCCTTCAACATGATTAAAATTCTAGACCCAAATGAGCTTGTGAACTTACGATCCTTATGAGCTTGCGATCATTATGATAAGATTTCTATAATTTAACCCAAGTCCATCCCGAATTACAATTGCACTTTGTATTTATGTCTCACTTTCCAACTCTTAAAGAAATATACTATCATATTTAAAATAAATGTAATTCAGACTTCTAAAATCAACTCTGATTGGCCTCTTCCCTCAACAAATTGCAAATCAGAAAGGCTTTCCTTTAACTGAGTATAACCAGTGGGTCAAAGAACAGTGAATTTATTTCACTTGGAAATTATAAAGATTCATTTATCATATAACTGATGTTTTTCCAAAGTGCTTTTTTCTACATTTTTACATTGAAACTTATATTTATTATTGTAAGAAAACATATTAGTTTGGTGTTATAATTTTTTCTCCCCAAAATGATGTTCCAAAGAGTTACTTCTTAGCAAAACATTTAAGCAGAATAATGTTTACTCATATAAATGACAGGCTTTTCCAGATTAGCAATTAAAAATTTAGTTAAAAGATATAATTTTTATAACTTTAGCTTTCCCCCTATAAATTAAAGGGAAAAAACATAAATAAAATAAAAAGCCAGGCTAGACACAGTGGCTCAAGCTTGTAATCCTAACACTCTGGGAGACCACAGCAGGTGGATGGCAGGTGGACTACCTGAGCTTGGGAGTTCAGAGACCAGCCTGAGCAAGAGCTAGATACCATCTCTATTAAAAATAGGAAAATTAGCTGGGTATTGTGGTGGGAACCTGTAGACCCAGCTACTTGGGAGGCTTATGTAGAGGACTAAAAATCATACTTATTACAACAGCCACCAATCTCATAACTATTCTGAGGAATTGCTAAGAACTTCCTGGCAAGCCTGGAAATCTCTTGTGACTTGGAAGGCAAGCCACCAAATGACTCAGTAATCCCAGAGGAGCAAAGTTCAGTCTCCAGTCTCTTGCAGCTTGTACTCTCAATCCATGTCCCGTGTGATCATTTATGGGGTCACGACAGGCTTAAACAAGATTATTTGAGCCCAAGAGTTTGAGGTTGCTATGAGCTATGGTCCCACAGTACTCTCTCTACCCAGGGTACTAGAGTGAGACTCTGTTTCCAAAAAAAAAAAAAGTCTTTGATGCTTGTCTGTCTATAAATCACCAGCATACCACCAAAAGAATAAACACAACTTAGTATTAATGGGAAATTTAAGAAACAGAAACAGCCAAATGAGCTGAGTTTAAAAGTCTATCCAAGATCATCCTTGAACTTGAGAGCACAAGATCACAACCTACAAGGACCAAACTGGAACATGCTTTGTTTGGCCCAGAGAGGTTTGTAAAAATTTGAATCAGTTGCCAGCATTTATTATTTGGAGATCTGATGTAAAATTTCAAATTCATATCTTTCTCTTGAAAAACCTCCCCAACTCTGATAATCAGGGCATGGAGGGTCCCATCTCATCTCCCAAACCTTTTTCTACAGGCACGGTGGTTAAGCTAAGTATCAGGTGCACACTTCAAGGGAGACAGTATTCTTGCTCTTCTGCCAGTGCCCCCAATCCACTCATTTGTTACCCCTCAGGCCTTGGAGACTTTGAGTCTTATGGCCCCTGGCTTTAGAGCAATTAATTCAATTAAGAAACTTAAAGTTAAGGAGTCACTTTTCCCATGAATATAACTGTTCCTAAATTGTAGAATAAAATAAAATGTGTATCAATAGGTCATATTGTCTTTCAAGAGTACCAAGATCCGCTGGTCCTCTGCCAGCTGGATAAGTTTGTAAACCAGAGTCTTACACAAAAGCACTTAAGATTTCATCATGCGCACTGATGACTAATCGAAAGGGTTAATTTAATTTTTTTCACTTACCTGTCCAATTCCAAGGACAATTGGTGAAGGGAAACTATAAAGAATAATAGAATAACAGATCAAAATAGAATAACAGTACAAAAATGTGAAGACGGCACATAACACATAATGACAGGAGTTATTAAAAATTCTTAAATAATAAAAACTTATCAAATTTGTTCATTTTCCATTTGTTCATTTCTTTTTCATTTTTTCAACAGATCGTTGCTGAATTTGGTAATTTTCTATTGTGCCTGGAGGCAGACTATCACGTTAATGGACATGATTATAGATGCAGAAAAAATAATCTGGTGACAAGTTATTAGAATAAATAACTTTAGAAAGGCCACCAAAGGCTTGGCACTTGTACCTCAGTGGCTGGGGCGCTGGCCACATACACTGGGGCTGGCCCAGGCCTACTAAAAACAATGACAACTACAACAAAGAAATAGCCAGGCATTGTGGCAGGCACCTGTGTTCCTAGCTACTTGGGAGGCTGAGGCAAGAGAATCACTTAAGCCCAAGAGTTTGAGGTTGCTGTGAGCTGTGATGCCATAGCACTCTACAGAGAGTGACATAGTGAGACTCTATCTTAAAAAAAATAAAAAGAAAGGTCACCAAATACAAGAAAGACAAATATGTTTTTTAAATCAGTTATGTGTCTATCTGTCAGCAAGAAACAAAGAAAATGAAAACGTTGAAGACATAATTTACTATTGCACCAAAAAGTACAATAAATAACACTACATGGACGTTTTATGATACTAAGGAATTAGTTTTACTTTTTTACCTATGAAATAGTATTGGGGTTTTTTTTTAACAAAAGAGTTATTAACTTTCAGGAATTCATATTAAAATGCATAGGATCATATATTTTTAATTTCCTTCAAAATAATCTGGAAGAGAGGGTGGGAGTGAGTGGGAAAGGAATATAAATACAAAAAGAATGTTCAAACTGGGTGATGGCTACATGGTGATTCATTATACTTTTTCTAAAATAATATACCCAGGAAAAATCTAATCAAAGATTTACAAAAAATACTTGTAGATAGAAAATTATAAGTTGATAGTAAAAACATGAAAGCCAGCCTAAATAAAGGTCATGGCTAAGAAACATAATAGTGTAGTTAGGTCCATTAACCTCAAAAGAGATCTATAAAATCAATGTAACGTCAATAGAAATACCAGCAGGTAATTTGTGGAAATCGACAAACTGATCCTAAAATTGAATGGAAAGCCAAAGAGCAAAAACCATCCAAGACAACCTTGAACAAAGTTGCAGGAATGATTCCAGTGGATGTCAGGATTCATTTTAAAGTTACAATAAATGAGACCGTATGATATTTGCACAATGGTAGTCTGATAGGAGATCAGGACAGACATACACACATAGGCAGTCCCCGAGTTACAAACACCTGACTTAACATATAATTTGTACTTACAGACGGAGGCTATTACTCCTGGGGTTACAAACATCTGAATGACACATAACTCACACTTAAAAATGGAGGTGATTACAGGTAATAGGTAAATGTACCTGTTCCAACTTACACACAAACTCAACTTAAAAACAAACCTAAATAACCTATCTTGTCCATAACCAGGGGACTACCTGTATATGGACACTTGATTTATGACAAAGATGACAGTGGGAAAGACTGTCTTTCAACAGATGGCGCTGGGAGATTTGGATGTGGAATTCTGACTCCTACCTCACCTTGTTCCAAACAAGGCAGCAGATCAGTTCTACCTGCTCATCCACTGTTCAACCCTTTGCTGGCTCCCAGTCATTCTCTTAGGCTACTAAAAAAGCTGAATATTATTTTAAAAACTCAGCCCTCATCCTGTATGTCAGAAACACACTTGTCTTAGATATGGTATAGAGAAGGGAATAAAGAACAAACACACTTCATCAGAGAAAACAGAATGCAAGGCCAAATGGTATCACCATGAGAATAAAACTAACTCTAGTGGACACTGGGTTGTGTCACCTATACAGATATATCCTTCCACACCAAAGGACTCTTTCTTCAGCAGGGTCCTCAGCTAAAGAAAACTGCCTGACAGTAGCACACCCACTTCCCCACAGAAACCCGCATTCCAATCGCTGGTCTTACAGAAGGCCAGCTAGGGTCACCTTCCCAATTCAGGAGAATTGCAGAGCCATGCCAGCTCCAGTCCCTGGGATTGGGCTTTTTTTGGGACTGGATTACAGCCCAACTTTTCCCTCTGCCTAAGCCTGCTTCCCCCAAGAGTATTGTAGAAGAGCTCTCTCCACTATGCTTCTCACCATCTCAGAGAATAAAATCTGCACCCCCGTTGAGCAAAGTAATAGGACAGCAATATAAACAAACAGGAAAACAATAACAACAAAAGGGTTTACAGAAGGTAAGACAAAGAGCCTGGCCTTTCAAAACATAATGCATAGAACAGAAGGAACTCTATAAAGCCACAGTACACCTTAGTAAGAATAACACATCAATAAAACAAGAGTTCAACACTGAGTTGATAAAATAGTCAAAAGAGATGAGCATACAGATCTAAGGAAACCATTTGAGGACCAAAGCAACATGACTGCCACATGAATAAATTACCTTTAGAAACACCAAGGAATCAAAGACCACTGTTGAAAATTGAATTATCAATACCTGAGGTGATCACAGTACATAGAGAGTAAAAGGACAAACTTTAAAAGATAGATATAAAAGACTAACACCACCACATAGGACTAATCACTGTGCCTAGAATATAAAAAGAACATAGCCTATAACTTTAAATTGAAATTTATTCTACAAATAAAGTTGAATAACTTTAGTGGGTTTTTAAACAACTCAATAAATAAAGAAGACTAATACAACCTTTTTGGAAGGAAATATGGAGAAACCTCAAAGAACTTAACCTAGACCTCCCGTTTGATCCTGCAATCCCATTACTGGGCATCTATCCAGAAGGAAAAACAAAAACTTTTATTATAAAGCCACTTGTAGGGGCAGCGCCTGTGGCTCAAAGGGGTAGGGCGCCAGCCCCATATGCAGGAGGTGGTGGGTTCAAACTCAGCCCCGGCCAAAAACTGCAAAATAAATAAATAAATAAATAAAGACACTTGTATAAGACTTATGGCAGCTCAATTTATAATCACTAAAATGCGGAAACAGCCTAAATGCCCCTCAACCCAGGAATGGTTTAGCAAGCTGTGGTATATATATACCATGGAATACTACTCAGCCATTAAAAAAATGCAGATTTTGCAGCATTTGTATTAATCTGGATGGCGGTGGAACACTTTATTCTTAGTGAAGCATCACAGGAATGGAGAACCATGAATCCTATATATTCAACTTTGATATGCTAATTAATGATGCAGGGTGGGGTTGGTGGAGGAAGGGGAGAGCAGACAGAGAGAGAAGGAGGGAGAGGGTGAGGGAAAAGAAAAAGAAAAGAAAATAGTGACTAATTCTCACATAAATTGGATTTAATTTTGACCAAAGTACATTGTTTGAATAATAATTTTTAATTCAACTTGTTAATATGTTGTTTAGGATATTGCATCTTCATTTATAAGTGAAATATGTTTGTAATTCCCCTTTATAATAATATATTTTTTCCAATTTTAATATCAGGTATATCCAAATGAAGTAGAATGATTTTGAAGTATTTCTTCTTTTACTATTGTCTATAAGATTTAGCATGATCTGTTTTTGGAAATTCTATTTTTATTTATAAAAACAAATATTCCCTATTTTTTGAGACTTTGGGAAAAAAAAGTTAACTGATGACTCCATATTGAACCTCAGAGTCAAAGCATTCTATGATAGACATACTTTATCTGACAATGTCAATGTTACTTTTTTTGCAATGTTATTATTATTGCTCAATATTTGGTTGCAGCAACCATCTGATTTCTTTTCTGAATGTATCTATCTTTGTTCATTCTTTGAGAGGTTTTCGTTTCTAGTCCTTATCTTAACCATTGTTACTGTTATTAAATTTTAAGCCTCTTTAATTTTGTGAAGGCAAAAAGTGGAAACCAAATAAATACATATACATGTAAAAAAAAAAAAAAAAAGAAAGAAATAAGATAGGCCAGCACAGTGGCTCACATCTATAATCCTAGCACTTTGGGAGGCCGAGGAAGGAGGACTGCTTGAGACCAGGAGTTTAAGACTGACCTGGGCAACATAGCAAAACCTCTCCCCTATAGTTAAAAAAATAGTTTTAACTTTAAAAAAAAAAGAAAAGGAAGAAAATGATTCAAAAGAGAAATTCGTTTCCCTGATAAGAGAGAAAAAAATAAACTGAATCTTCAGATCTAAAAGCACAAGACATTACAGAACAATCTATTAAAGAATGCTTAGCAGAATTAATACAGCAGCTATGAATTCTCTATAAAAAAAGTGATAATGAAATGCATCAAGGGGGAGTCAAATTAAAATAAACTTGGCAATGGAGATATTGTGGTAAAAGAACCATTGATGACTACGATATCCATTTAAATGTAGGACAGAGTCAAACAAGGAGGGGATTATAATTACAGTATGCTACATAATAAAAGACAATGTGGAGGGCAGGCAAGATGGAAGGAGTTGCACTTGCGTCATCTTTCATAGCAGGGAGGTCATACAAATTATCAAAAATTGAAACATGGGTCTAAATAAACACATGACTTAAACTTCTTAATGTTTCTTATGACCCCTTAATCTTAGAGAGATCTTTTAAGTAATACAAACCATTGTGAAAGCACATATAGTAAATATAAGATGGTGTCAGGTAAGGTAGGGTGGACATGACACAGGCTGGTCTGGGCAGTTTAGGTCCTGGCTGACTTTCACCTCCTGTCTCCCACTCTTATTCTTCTGAAATTTAGCTCTTACCCTAAAGATGCCTATCTTGAGTAGTTTAGGTGGATTGATTTAGGAGATTAACTTTTGAATTGGAATGCTGTAATAGGTCAAGGTATGATGATTATTATTAGGAATAGAGGTTGGTGTGGTCATTGCTTTGAGCTTTTATATATAACACTGTAATTTTGGAAATGAAAGAATACAACAGTCTTGG